CACACACACACACTTTAATTACACCTCCACTATATCAACAATGAACTGACCCTGAGTATTACCCACAAGCCATTGCTGCTTCACTTGGATGATGTATGAACATAATTTCCACCTTCAGTTTCAGTGCTCACCTTAAATCTCTGTCTACACTTTGTGAGTTGTAGTTACAAACAGAATGAAGATAAAATCATATCTTCATGGTAACACCTGAAAATCTCACTGTGTATGGATGGATGATACTGTAGATACTGTTGTCCTCATTAATGAGGAGTTTTAATTATAAAATGTGAACTTGTTGCACTACAAGGGTTCAACAGGTGCTGTGATTAGGCACCTGTTGGAGGACCTGCAGGTCCTCCAGGGTCTGCTGGGCAGCCAGTCTCAGGCTTGGTTCAACACTAGTGGTGAGGTGGTGGACTCGAGCCTGGAGGTCTGGATCCAGCAGAGAGGAGCCCAGCAGGAGCAGCACCTCCTCGTCCAGCAGCAGAGACTGGAGGAGACGCAGAGAGTGGAGACACACCTCCCACTCTCCATCTGTCATAAGACAAAGAAAAGCATTAAATCCACATTTCTGATCAATCATAAACTATCAATATTTCACATTGTTAATAAAAAATGATGAGCTCAGTATAAGAACAGTTGTTGATGATGTTTTTGTGAGTGTGGTGGATGAGAGACTATGACCGCCTCCAGGACAAACTGCAGTGATATATTGTCACTGCTGTTGACACAGTGAGTCCAGCCTGGAACAACTGTCCAATATCACAGTGAGTCAAAGCAGCTCGACCTGCAGCAGCTGACAGAGGGTCACCACCACACCTGAGCCTCATGAGCCACACACACCTGCAGCTGTTGTTCCACTCACACACAGCTCAGTCTCTTACTCTGGTTCTGACATGACCTGCAGGGTGGTGTCTACCTTCAGGTCCTGGTGGGTGCAGTTTACATCAATTCACCTGGGTGCAGCAGGATCAGCCATGTTCTCTGTCTCTGTCTGATCTCCTCCTGTCATCACATGCTCTCTTTGGTCTGGTTCAGTCACACCATACAGCTCCACCCTCTCATACACCCACTCAGTGACACCACTAATCTATTGAAGGACCTCTTCATACATGTAGTTCACATGATGTAAATACATGTGATTGTTTCTCTTCCCAGTACACCTGTGTGTGTTTCCCTCTGTTAGTCAGGGTCTAAGAGCCGGTCCTGACATGAGAGAAGCTGGGGCACTTTAAGTTTCCTGCTTAAGAATGACACTTAAGGTTTAATTTCTCCTTAACTGGGGGAGTCACTTAAGGGTTACACAGAAGCTCTTAAAAGGTTTCCTTAGTTAAGAAAAAAAAGTTGAGGCATTTGCAGCAGAGATTTTACAGCGGTAAAATTCTATTGTTTCCATGGGGACCATTGATTTACTGCCATTAGTACTTGTGATACCTTAACTCAGACTTTAAGGGAAATCTTAACTCAGGGTGCTTTGTGCAACTGCTTTTTAAGGAAACCTTAACTCAGATTATAAGGAAAATCTTAATTTAAGGTGTTTTGTGCAACATATTGTATTAAGAAAACCTCAACTCAGGCTTTAAGAAAAACCCTTAAACTTAAGGTGTTTTGTGCAATGATTTAACTAATTCCTTAAGAATAAGAATAACATAGGGAAAAACCCTTAAAAACTTAAGTGAACATTTAAAAGATATCTTAATGAGAAGACTTAAGGGTGTTTTGTGAAACTGTTTTTATTTTATGGAAACTTTAACTCAGACTTTAAGGAAATTCTTAACTTATGGTGTTCTGTGCGACTGTTTTTATTTTAAGAAAATCTAACTCAGACTTTAAAGACAATTTTAATGTAAGGTGTTTTGTGGTCCCTGTGGAGACAGGAAGTGTCACTGTGTAACACTGATGCAATGTGGTGGTCTCCTCACCATTCAGCAGGGTCCAGATCAGAGGCAGGAGTCCTGGGTTCTCACTGATGTACTTGAGTCCTTTAACACTGATGCTGACATTATACAGAGCCATCAGCATCAACCTGCAGCAACACAGCAGCATCAGAAGCAGCACTGACACCTACTGTCCAAATCAGGTACTGACAGTCTGATTGAGTGACTTCAGTCACTGGAGCTGCCAGTATGTTTCATGTTCACACTGATAAAAGACAAACAGCATCAACATAACACCCAGAGAGAGCAGCAGCTCCACCTACACCTTCAGCTTGGGGAAGACTCCAGGCTTCATCAGCTCTAGCAGCTTCATCAGAATGTCCAGCAGGGTGTGAGCCGAGCCAGACAGGTAGTCCCGCCCACACGTGACTGCCGCTATGTCTGATTGGAGGGAGATAAAGACAAGGTGAGTGAGGGAGGTGTGGTCTGGAGCTGGAACTTCACAGCTGAACCACTTTAATCAGTTTGATCCAGTCTGACCCATCTGACACTCTGCTGCTCTGAGGCCACAACACTGACTAATGACCTCTTCAAAAGTGTCTGTGCTGCAGAACAGAAGTTGTGAACTCACTGGTGATGGTTCCAGCTAGAGCCAACACAAATTGGTGCTCCTGGGAGTTCTGGTCCTCAGTCTGGGTCTTCAGCTCCACATCCAGAGACCTGACGAAGCTCTCCAGAGTCTGAGCAGCTACAGCCAGAAAGGCCTGCAGCTTCCCCTGCGCACACACACACACTTATATATCAGACAACACAGTTCCACCAATCAGCTGTCAGATACCAAATATGAAACTCAGAGTTTACTGTTTACCCTGGTTGTCACACACATACACACAGACAGACTCACGTCAGCCAGCCAGTGTGTGACTGTGTCCTCTATGACAGAGCAGCTCCACAGTAGACTGCAGGTTGCAGATCCCAGACCAGAGCAGAAGTCTGCCTGCTGCTGCAGCTCTGCTCCACTCTGCCACAGCTGCTCACGTAACAGCAGCTTCTCCTGCACACGCACATACACACACAAAGGTGTCTTGACATACAAAACAATCAAGTTATCTGGATAGTTAAAGAACAGTTTTTTGTTTAGCTGAAACGACCCCTTAAAGCCTGATCACTGATCTCAGAGCAGTGTACACACACACACACACACACA